CCATTAATCCTTGTTCCTTTTTTTAAAAAAATTCACGATTTTCTTTCAAAAATAGGTAGGGTTTTGTTGTTTATGTTCATTTCTACTTTAAAAATCTTGAATTTACGGTTTGTAATATGCTATAATTTCTAATTTAGGTCTCTAATTTGAATTTTGAATTTTCTCGAAATTCGTCAAAAATGACAAATGAAAACTTGAATAAGCTTTGTATGGATGAATCAGACCCAATGCTCAATGCCGTAATGAGATGCAAGCATGAAATTTTGTTGAATTTGCAAACTTCTTGGTCAAAATTAAATCCACGAAAAAGACTTTGGTCTTGCCCATGCTATGGTGTATGTGTTTTCCTTGTATTCTTGCTTCGCTTTATATTGAACGATGCTAATGTACTATTTTGGATTGTTTTCAGTCTAAAAATTGCAAAATATTCCGATGGAGGGACAAAGAAGAAGTGGATCCAAGATCAAGTTTTAACCTTTCAAGATTGGTGAACAAAATCAATGAGTTGGAGCATGAATTATGGATTAGACAGGTTCATATTGACAACTTGAGTAGCTCTAATTTGTTATTGGAGAGTAGACTTAATAGAATGTGGAAATGGTGTAGGTTCAATAGGAAGATACTTTTATGTATTTTGATTTGTGTTGTTGCTATGTTCATCAACAACCAATCTATTCGAAAGTAGTATTTGCTTTGAATTTCTCTTTGATTTGTATTGTTGTTATGTTTAATCATAATTGTCAATGTATGTGACAAATTTTATAACTATGATGTCAATTGAAGCTTGTATAAATAAATTGCACTTCATCTGTAAACTGAACATCAACAACAACCTAGTCATTCATTCCTACTTCAACATAGACAACACAACACCATTTGTAAAACACATAACCAACACAATATTATTTCTATAGTCAATTGAACCAACACAACACCATATGTAAACACACCTGAATAGCCAATACAATTCGATAGACAACACAACAACATTTCTAAACACATTTGAACATAACATCATCATTCATAACACAACATCACCGTTCATTCATAAGGCCTTACATAAAGCAGAATTTACAAAAATAAAGTCGTATTCATAAGGCCTCACATAAGGCAGAATTTATCAAAATAAAGTCATATTCATAAGGCCTCACATAAGGCAGAATTTACCTAAATAATGTCATATTCAAAGGCAAAATTTACCAACAAACAAAATCCAAAATAGTAGGCCCTTAATGCAGCATGTCTCGACTAACTTAAAAGTGCTTAAATACATCAATATCACTACAATTTTCATGGCATCTTTGACTGTGAAGAAGTGTTATTTTGACTTGGATTATTTGAACTACTTCCATTGTCTTCTTTCTTTGCTTCTCTCTAAGCTCATGAAGTTTTCTTGTTAAGATTGCTGCTTTACCATTCCATTTCAGCTTACTTGTATTACTTGGTGTATAACCAATGTCACCAGTTACATCAAATCTTTTCACTTTCACTTGTCCAGTAGAATAGATCTTACTACTTGACATGCCATGCTACAGTAAAATTAGGAATATAATTCAATATTTAAGTTGTTTAAATAAAGTAAACAATTTAAGATATAGCAAAGACTCGCATTCATGACTTTGAAGCCATCTGTAGCTTGGAACACACTCATTCCCATGACTCTTGGTCATTTCTCTGGAGATGTGTTTCCCCTGCCCCTACCTCTTCCTCTTTTAATAGTACCAGAAGAGAATGCAGGAAAATCAGTTGGTGCAGTAGGTAGGGGAGGTGCATTAGGTGCTACTGATGATGTTTTTTTTTGTCTTCTTCTTCCTCTTTTTAGTGGAGGCTTACCTTCTGATGGTGTTGATGGAGTTTTCTATACAAATAAAGAAATAGTAAGTTATAAATTAAGAAAAAGTAAAACAAGTTCAAATATTACCTTTGGTTTGCCACTGTTCAAGTTGATTCTGCCCTTACTCAACACCTTTTGTTTGAGGTCACCCTATCTTGCTATGGCCTCTGACATACCTTCTGCATATCCGTAATCAAGGTGAGACATTCACATCTCCAAGTCCTAAATCATCCCTTATGCACTTGACAAACATGGTCCATGAGTTTTTGTTCTCCTTTTCAACTATTGCCCAAGCAAGTGGCAACATATGATTGTTACCATCCTTGGCCACAACAACTATTAGTTGACCTTTACAAACACTTTTATGGAAACAACCATCTAAGCCTATGCACTTCCTACAATGTATCCATGCCTTCCTTAAAGCATCAAAGCATATGTAAAAATTCTGAAATATTGATTTGCCTTTTGCATCAGGTTCACCAACTTTTACAACACATTTGGTCCCTGAATTGGTCCTCAACACTTCATCCTTGTAGTAAAATATTCTTCCAAATTCCATAACATGATCACCCATTATATCTTTCAACACTTTAGCTCTTGCTCTTCTCACAGTAGTCTTGCTAATATAAAGTTTAAACTTTTTCCTAATCATCTCCTGCAAATTGAAGACTCTTGTGTTTGGTTGCTCAGTTATTCTTTCTCTGAAGGCTTTAGATAAAAACTTTGCATTGCATAAGTAATTTCTAGTTGTCTTGTTGCAAGTATGCTTTGGATTGTAAGTTTTTATCATGAAATTATTTGTTGTCTTGTCAAGACATCTGTACAAAAGTCATGGACGCCCATCTTTGCATCTAACTCTAACTTTGTTTGGCTCATTCACCTACTTCTCTACCTGAACCCTCCTTCTAACTACATATTTAGTTATTGTTCGTCTAAATTCTTTCACATCTTTAAACACCATACCCAACTGCCACACAACTTTTTTTGCAGTAGGATCATGAATGATTTTTTGAGTTGTTGTCCTTCTCTTTCTTGACAACTTTACTATTCTTGCTCTACCAGATTCATGTTCATCATCATCACAACACTCATCTGACTCAAAACAATCCTCATCAGAACTTGCAAAGTAAGGCTCATCACCTCCTAGCCTTCCTTCATGACTCACTTTACCTGTTCCAGTTTCATCAAAATCAAGATCTGGTCCATCTTCACCTATTAGTACCTCTTCATTGTCAGCTGATACTCTTTCCCTTCTTTTCATCCTTTGAAAAGTTCTCTGTTCAGCCCTCAACTCCCTAACCTCCTCATGTACATCACTACCATCACTTTTCATCCTCATCATCTCCAATTAATTCAGCTTTAAACTCAACACTATTCTCAGTTGAATAATCAGAATCCTCTACTTCTTCTTCTTAGAAATCATCTATATCATCATCTTCTACAACATCTGCAGTAGCACCATCTGCAGTATTGAAAGGAGGTGTGGTAGTGAAAAGATGTGAGGTTGAAAAAGTAGCAAAATGGTTCTTACTGTTTAAATGGTCTTCACCTACCCCAAAGTTAAAGTTTTTGCTCTCACTAGTCCTTATATTAAAAGCTGAACCAGATTCTCCCATATCCACATGACTATCATTTTCTATTAGCATGGACCCCACAATTGGCTCATCAACTAAATGCTTAACAAATACCTCCACTACATCCCCATCTTCCAAGGAACACTTCATGTCTAAAATATCCTTATCATCATCAACATCTACCAAAATGTCACTGTTAGATGCTTTAATACTAAAGGTGCAGGTTGTACTATTTCTCAATTCTCTAATATAGTCTCTCAACTCAAAATATGACATTTTATCTACATCAACATCCAAAAATTATGTAATTTTCCACCATTATATATTGGTTCCCCACTACTTAAATATAACACCCCACCATGGTACCACCTTAGAGTAATCAGTAACCACAGTAAACCCATACATGTCTTACCTGAAGGCAATCAAAAAAACAAAATAGTAATTATAGACATACTCTTACTTGAAGGCAATAAAAAAAAATAGAATAGTACTTATAAGCATAGTATCATTGTAGCATTATGAACATAATACTAAGACGAACATAAATACAACATAGTAGCATTAGCTTCTCTATGAACATAATACTAAGACCAACATATATACAACACTCCATGAACATAATATTAAGACGAACATAAAATACAAAATTACGCGACTTAGACGAGAAAGGAAAAAACCTAATTTCATGAAAATTGTGGTATAATATGGTATAAATGAACACCTAACACTATAATCGTAAGCCACACATAATATTTCGCACAATGTTGCTCTTAATTTCACGAATCAACAGAGAACCCTAAGGGATAAATCACAAACTCGAAATAATGGATAAAGAAATAACCTTTTACTAAATCAGTTGATAAACTATGAAATCAAATAGAAAATACATAAAAAAAATCCTTCGATCATCACCAGAAATGTATATGCAAATGGAGAAGGAGATGAAAAGGAGAAATGATGATTTTTGGGTCTTTTACATTTTTAGGAGGGAAATGGAGAAAAAACAAGAATCGGGGGTTGAAGTGGGTGGGGCACCCGGCCCGTGCAATCACGTGGGACAATTTATTTGGTTTATGTGGACAGGGCAGCACTCAACTGCGTAGTAAATAGAGAAGTAAAATGTTCAGGGGTGATAGGACACCCGTGAAGTTGGTGTGTAGTTGAGATTTCGGGTATAGGTTGGGATTTTTTAGACCATGTCCTCCCATTCTTATAACGCAATTTCATTGTCATTCTTTTTCTTTTTCAACAGGTATAAGTGAGCAAACTTTAAATGTCCTAGAACTGTACTCGCACAAGAGAAAAACAACTAAAGAAAAGTTATCATCAACCAACACATACAAAGTCTCTCAATTATTCATGGATCAAATCATTAATTTGCATCAAAATGGAAGAAGAGAGAAAGACAACATATGGTTATGAAGCAAGAATGCGATAGAAATACTTTAAAATTTTGTACAATTAGTTTTTTTCAAGTATTTTAGCTTATAGTACCATAATTGCCTTTTCCGTCAATAAATGACCTGTTCACAAAGTTAGCGTTTCTTAATAAGTTGATCAAAATCGCTATTAATTGAATGCTAAATGTTCAGTCAAATATCACGGGGACTAAAAAGTGAAATTAGGCAATACTACAGGGACTAAAAACGCCGTTTTAATGCACTGTGGTTGTGTTCCCGCCAGATAATAGAGTGAGTTGGGGGATTTTGGGTTCCATTTCCTCTCTGGTCATTACTAGTACTTTGACTAAAATGGCGTCTTCTTCATCCAAAACCCTAATGGATCTATCGAAGCAACCAGCAGCAAAGCGTCTAAAACAGGTGTCTTCTACCGATAACTTCATTTCTAGCGCCTTGTCATCTTCATCTTCGCGTAAAGACTGTGACGAAGACCCCAAAGACGTAGTATCCTTTACGCCGGAGCAAAAGTCGAGAATGGAGTTTAACAGATCACTCGCAAAGGCCAGAAGAAACCTCAAACTATGTTCTGATAAAATCTCCAAATTAAACGCAAACGGTCTGTTAAACAATGCTCCTTTCACTTTTATGGCAAAATTATTTTTGGTTCCTTAACTTTGTGTTACGACTGAGTTTTTTTTTTTTTATCCAAAAAGATCGCCATGCATTTTCAATACCACAAAAGGTTTCAAGGACCTCATTTTAGCTTCGTCTAGTAGTTTTTTTTTAAAATGTATAAAGCAAAACAAATTTCAAATAAGAAATTGACCAATTTATATTTCAACATAGTCTTTTGATGATGGTATTGTTGGTACAACTTGCACTCACCTCGACTATTCCACCATTTTCATGCCATGACACACTAGCACATGTATTGGGGTTACTTTGCCCACTAAGGACTTGTGCAAATATTTTCACATATTCTGGTTATAATCGTTCCAAATTAATAGTGGACAAGCAAATTGATGTGGCAAATTGTGTCTTATAATGTTTTGATTTTTGGACATAAATTTGTGCTACATGTATCCTTTTTGTTGTTCTTTAATGTTTGGATGTTGTTAAAAGATATAAAAAAAAGTTATTGAATTGGATTAATTTTAAAAATTATGTCAGATGCTTTGGACTATTTGAATGGAAAGAAATTTAAGATGATTTTTAGACAAGTATAGTAATGTGCAGAAAGTTGAAATGTACTTTTTTTTCTATTTCATCTTTTTGGTGTAAAGAAGAACTCTTAGAGGATGCGGACACACTGATATCTTTTCATGCGGACACATTCAAGTATAAAAACTGAATGTTTTCTACTTATAATATTTATTTTTTCATGCCAAAGAGCAATGTAGATCCTCAGTTTCAAAACTCAAAGTAAGATTGCTACTTACAGAGCCTTTGGTTAAACTACTTATTCCTTGCAAGGCACTGAAAAAACATCTCTTGTGTACCAATTGTTAGGTGAAGGGGGTGGATATGTGAAGTTACAGGAACTGTTGATTGAGGAGACATGGTTGGAAGCATTGCCAGGGGAATTTGAGAAGCCCTATGCAGGGAACTTGTGCAAATTTGTGGAAAAGGAAATTAGTGGTGGTGTCCCAATTTATCCTCCACTACATCTGATTTTTAATGCTCTTAACACTACTTCATTTGACAGGATAAAGGCTGTCATTATTGGACAGGTAGTGTTTCTAGTTTTTATAATAGCATTCACATGTAACTAACAGTATGTTCTCAAGGAATCACAACCTGTATAAAATTGTTTTTGGTATTGAAAACTTTACAACCTTACCCAAAAAGGAGACAGTAAAATATTACGCAGTATGTGCACCTGTGATAATTAGTTTCTTTAAAATATTTATGCAGGATGTGCACCTGTGTTAATAAGTTAGTTTTGAAATGCAACCATCTAAAATATAAAAACCAAATTTCTCTTTTAAAATAAAATACACAAGTTGCTTTGCTTCTCTTTTGACATCTTCCTTACTGGAGCAATCTGGTATTTATTCATCTCAGATATCACCTTTAGGGGTCGTTTGGTGTATTAGCAAAAATAATGCATGCATTAACTCTGTGTATTAGTAATACCTTGTTTGGTACATTTTTTTCAACACTCTATTATGTATTAACGTGTGTATTACTAATACCATGGATTTTTAGGTTACATTAGCATGGTTAAAGAGCCCATTGCCCCTCATAATCTTTTTTACATCTTTTCTGCCATAATTGTGAAGGATATATTTGTAAATAAATATTTTTATGCAATGCATGCTATTCTTAATACACCAAACCAAACAATGCATAAAAAATAATTTATGTATAATTAATACAAGCATTACTAATACACTTCATTTAGCATTATTCTTTTACGATCTACCAACGACCTTTTAGGAATTTGGTAATGAAGCTACACTTTTTGGAAATATTTTAGCCTTTGCTGGAAGCATTTTTCTAACTTACAGATGCATCATCCTTTTTCAATGTGATTTCAGGATCCATATCATGGACCAGGTCAGGCAATGGGACTCTCTTTCTCGGTGCCTAAGGGTGTGAAAGTCCCTTCTAGTCTGATGAATATATATAAAGAACTTAAGCAAGATTTGGGCTGTTCAATACCACTTCATGGAAATCTGGAACAATGGGCTGTGCAGGTGCTTCTGAACTTCTTGGTGGAACTTATCTAGTTTATATGGGTTTCATATTAAAAAAAAAATTCTACTGTGCTTTACGTAAATCAGTTTATTTAGTCAAAATCAATGACTTGTTACCCTTACAATTTTCACTTTTGCAGTCATTTGTGACACATTTGACACATGAAGTGCTATTGAAGCATGAACCATCATTTAAACTACTATCCATTTCTGATCTCTTTCACTTTAATTCATGGAAATCTATATTTGATATTTAAACAAGATGTGGCTGCATAATGTTTATGCCAGTTTTGTTCACTGAACCTATATGGCTACTTATTAGTCAGATCTTTACATTTCCTAATTATTGACCATGTAACAAGCTGCAAATGATTGCAACTTTAAATTCCAATGTCAGCTAATCACAGATCAATGTTCTCTTCTTTATCAACTGCCCATCATTTTTTGAAGTTGGGGCAAACTATTGAGTACATGGTTATCCAGTGGTTTCTAATGTAATAATGGTGGATCCTGACTTGGACCAAGTTGATATTTATGCAAGCTTATTTGATAGAAATACGTAACAGTCTGTAAACTATCAGTTTATACCTTTATAAGTAGTTTGAAATCTGAAACGTGCCACTTTTGTACACTACTGGTGGAACATTTAGAACTAAACTATAGCACAAAGATGTGTATCATAGAAGTTCTCAACTTACACCATTCCCCTGTAGCACTAGCTCACTTGCATACTTGAAAGCATGCTTGTTTCTTGTTAATGTAAGAAGGTTTTTATTTAGAGCATACCTAGCCTAGATTTGTACTTAGTTTGAGCTGGAAATTAGAGTAGTTCATGGTTCAATGTGGAATTTCTGTTAAATGAAACGATGCTTTCACATCAGCAAAAAATAACTTTGTAAACCTTGAGGTACTCCTCTTTATAAGTTGTGTTTGTTGAGTTCCAACATAGGTCATTTAGGGATGGAAAGATCTCTTTACATGGGCTTGGGCAATCCTCACCTAATGAGCTAGCTTTTGGGTTGAGTTAGGCCCAAACTCATTTTCTTATCGTGGTATCGGAGCCAGACCCATCCCAATTCTTTTACTCGATGTTGGGCCCCCATATTATATTTTCCACACTCCGTTGCCAGGCCTAGGTGTGTGAGGGGGTGTTGATTGACTGCATCGGTCATTTAGGGATGGGAAGGTCTCTTATATGGTCTTGGGCAATCCTCACCTCATGCGCTACCTTTCGGGTTGAGTTATCCCAAAGTTCGTTTTTTTTTATCAGTGTTGACAACACTTATATAGACTTCATTTTTCTTCCTTTAAGTAATTGTCTGACATACACCACATTGCTTTACAGGGCGTTCTGCTTCTCAATGCTGTTCTAACAGGTGAATTTGTGTCTTCAATGGTTTTAAATATTTGGTCTGGACACATTCCTTTTGGATTCGTTTATTCTCATATGCTTTTTAGGGCGATATTATTGCTATTGCCACAGATGTGCTTGTGAAGATTAATAAGGAGATACTGACTGAAAGAATATCTCTGTATCTCTCTCTCTCTCTTCCTCTCTACATAAATCAATTAAGGTGTGTTTGTTTATAAGATCTGAGAATTCGATTTAGGTAAAAAAAAAAAGAGAAACTCATCATTAAGTCGGTAGAGAGGAGTGATTCTGAACCAATCTCAATGTATCTAGATGTTTGTTCAAGGTTTGAATTTGAAGGCATCTGACAAGTTTCTTAATGTACCAAGGTATCTCCTGCGATGTGAAATTTGCTGTATTTTGTAATCTTATTGTTAGACATCATATCTGTCATATTTCAGACTTTCTGTATGCTTCACTTTTATTTCCTAATTTTTGGATTGCATACACATGACTGAAACATAAAGATTTACTGACATGAAACCTATCATATAGAACTTGCGTCCATATTGTTGCTTTCTAGTCCTATCCCATGATGTTGATGGTACTCCATAATACTATCGGAAGCTGTTAAATGCCATGTACTATAGAGTGCCTTGGCCATGGCTGCACTAACTTACAATTACTCTTGCCCCTACATTGGCCCACTTGTTAGTGGCCAATGCACATGCAGTGCCCACAAATAACGACTGTAGTAGTGTGCCTTCAGCGACCAACAACCAGTATCTTACGATGTATTATGCTACAAGTGAGTGAAGCTTTAGAGAGCAGCATGCAAGGAGATCTTGCTAGTAGTTGCCAACCACCTTTATTTAATATCAACCAATCACCTTTGTACTTGTATGAATAGGGGTTTAGCTCATCATTTGTAATTAGACAAGCTTAGGTCATTTTAATAGTGTATATTTCTGTTATCAGCAATACAACGAAATTTCCAGCATTCTCTTGTCTTCTTAGCTAATAGCTTCTTTGTTCTTGACTTAACCGAGTCAACAATTTCCTATAGGTCTATTTTGTCAATAATACTGAGCTTAGTACTCATTAGCAAAGCATAGCATTATAAGTGCTGCCTAGGTTAAGTGGGGTGTACCGTAGACTTGATCTAGGCCGACTGTGCAACATTTAATCGTTTTGCCTTCCAGGGAAAATGTTAAGTTCAGCCATTCATCTAAACATACAAAAACAACTTGTGGGACCGGCTTAGGCAGAAAGATCAAAGAAGCTAAAATCCAAGGTAAAAGAATGTGGGAAAATCTTGTGAGATTGCTGTCAATAGTAAGTACACAATTATACAAATAGGTTTCTATTAGTATATGTATACAGATGGTTGACATAATATGGGCAAAACACTTGCACCAGAGTTGCTGTTCCAAAAAAAAGAAGAAAGAACCAGAACGAAAACCTTGCATCATAGTTTGATTTCCTATCCAATTATTAATAGTTGAGAATATTTGTCTCTTCTATTTCTCTATCTACCTTAATTCACAAGTTAGTGTTGTCAGCTACATTTTGATCTTTTGAAAAATTAAGATCTGCTGTTCGGATATTGTGTGTCTGTCCTTTTTAAACTTCTGAGGATATACGGTGGAATGTTACCCCCCTGTTTTGAAGAAGACACTCCTTCTCATTTGTTCTCGAATGCTTTATGGTATTATTTGCTTTTCTTTTTCATTGAAGAGATGGAATGACACTTCTTCTTATCTTCTACAATTTAATAGCATTTTGAGCCTTCTCTTTTCACTGATATACTCTCAGTCAGGCATCATCAGGCAAATTCACATGCAAATAAAGGCTGGGAGCAATTTACAGATGCTATCATCAAAACAATTTCTCAGAAGAAAGAAGGAGTTGTTTTCATTCTGTGGGGAAACTATGCCCAAGCAAAAGCCAGGTGATTCATTACAGGGCTGCAAATACTCTATTTAGTTTGTTAATATCTGATTGGGAATCCCGGCTTTATAATAGTTAGTCTGAAGACGACTTAGTTATTTTATGGGCATCACTTGTTACCTTTGCCCTTGTTGGAATTATACCTGCAAGTTTAAGTGTTCAATGGGTGAAAGTTCGAAGATAGGGGATGATGTGGTAACATTTTTTGAATGTCCAGTAGTAGATTTCTGGTTAAATTTCCTATGAATGAAATTCTCTGCTTTGCTTCCATCTTCAGCTTCTTGCTGATACTTTATGAGAGCCATTTCATTTGACTATAGAAGTTTTATGACTTCTTCACTCAAGATTTGTTATCAAAACTACTGTTGCCAAGGATTTCTTTTATAAGTTTGCACTTTTTGTGTCGGACTTGTTATGTGTACTTAAAGTGATGGCATCTCAAATATTTCACTGAATATTTTTTCTCACCAGTATTTTCCCAAGTTTGAGTTTTTTATATTAAACATAGTATGCTATCTATAGTGAAAGCTGCATAAGACACCCTACAGACAAGGTCCACCAGAATATCATTTGAACTGGTGTTCTTTTTTCAAGTCATTACTTTTTGAAGATAAAAGAAACATATTTTATTTGTAAAGTAAACTACTATATTTTTCTTCTTACATGCTCGTAATTTTGGAAAAATAGTTGGTCATCCTTATTCTACTTGAGTTGCAGCAATTCTGTTTAATCTTTTTCTGAGAGCAACAGTTACCCCATCAACACAGGATTGTCAGACCTATTCGCTCCCTACAGTACTTTCTGATTTTTCGTTTCCTTCGCTTAGAAATAAATAGCAATACCTGCAGCTAGTTACAGCAACATCCCAGTGAGTTATCCTTGGTACAACTTTAGATGCTAGATATAGATTCTCCAATATTCTGAAGAGGTTAAAGTTTACGATTTAGGTAATTGCTTTGGATGTCTAAGGAAAGATTCCATAGAAGATTTTTTATTTCTATAAAAAGATCAAATTTAACTGTAAAAACACTGGGAATGAGATTGCGTTATTCAGCTCTACTTTCTTGAAATTGATTCAATATTGTGCAGACGAGGTTCAAACAGGAACTATTCCTTTTCCCTCCCAATTAACCCTTTTGTTTTACAGGTTAGTTGATGAAACAAAGCACCATATTCTCAAATCTGCACACCCTTCTGGATTGTCTGCAAACAGAGGTTTCTTTGGATGTCGGTGTGTTCCCTTGACAACAGACTCATTTCAACTGAAATTCTCTTAAGCATTTCGTGCTTTATAATTATAGTGCTGTAGTTATAGTATACGAGTTTAGTTGTTATATTGCATTAAATATATTATTTTCCCTATTTACTTTTATGGATTGTGTTATATAATACTCCCTCCGTCCCATTTTATGTGGCACATTTCCCTTATTAGTCCGTCCCAAAAAGAAAGTCACCTTACTATAATGAGAAACAATTTAACTTTCAAATTTCCCTTTTACCATTAATGAAGTGATTTATAGTCACTCAAATATCTAAGGATTGTTTTAGACCAAAAGTTTCAGAAGTCTTCCTTTTTTTCTTAAACACCGCGTCAAGTCCAACGGTGCCACATAAAATGGGTCGGAGGGAGTAATAAATATGTTCATGGAAGGGGAGGCATGCACAACATGACTAATGCATACGAGCAACCAATTAGCCTTTTTTATTTGTTTCAAGGGCCTGGTTTCCTCTGAAGTCACAAGTTCTCTGCTCTCCCACCTGCTAAAGGAACAAACGGGAGCCAATATAACAATGAATTTGAAAACTAGGTTGTTTCCATTGTGAACCATGGATGTGTCTGCATCGTGATTGTCTTCTCCCATTTCCTCTCTTTCAATCGTTTTCTGTGTTGAGCAAGAAAAATAAAAAATTTCTGGATCAGCTTATGATCACAACTCTTCCTGTGTAAAATGATTTTCTTTTTCTTGGTCTTGTTTTGGGGTGTCAAAATTATCCCATGTAAACATGACCCACCCAAATTTGGGTTGGTCATTGACCTGCCCATTTATTAGTTCAACTCATCAAAAATGGGTTGATACATAGCCCAAATTGGCACATGAAAATTTTGTCACATATTTGTGAAAGGACATTTTTTATTTGATATGTCATATTAGTCATAATAAAGAAAAAAAGGGTTCTATTAGGTACTAAAAAAATTATATAACAACAAATAAAAAAATTAAAACGTAGTAAGAATTTGGCGGGAAGGGTTATGACCATTTTATCCCATTTCAGCCCAAACAACTTTAGGGCAGGTCAATAAACCAGCCATTTATTGACTCAGCCCATTTTAACCCGCACAAATTCAGCCCAATCCACCCATTTGACACCTTTAATCTTGTTTGCATGGAGCAGGTTGCTCACATGATGCCCAGAAATAGTAGTGTGATTGGATGAAATTTCTTTTGCTAGAATGCAGTGGGATATGGTGTCACAGTGGCCAACATCCAGCCATTTACTCGTGCTTGAGTTGATGCCACCTTCTAACATGAGATTTCTGCAATTTTTTTAAAATGACAGTGTTTTCTGTTTACATTATCACGTTTCATGCTTGAATTGACTAGGAAGTTGGTATTAAACTGTTTTTCTTGCCTTCAACTGGTGATTACTTGTGCAGGCATTTTTCACAGACAAACCAACTTTTGGAAAAGATGGGAATGCCTCCCATTGAATGGCAACTATAAGCTGCTTCTCAACCATCACTTTTGGAATGCTAGTGCTACAGGGATTTGCCATTAAGAAGTGATTCATCTAGGTATGTAGATTTCATTGCTTTACCAGGTTCACTTGAAAATAATTATCATCTGATATCTTAACGTACATAGTAGGCTAGTAGCTATGGCTGGCAACTGCTTGTTCACAATCCACCTTCTTGGCAGTGGATAATTGCTTAATGTTGGTAAATTTTAGTAGTATGAGTTTTAGAAAGCAGAGAAGTCAAGAAGAATATTGGTAGAAGAACATATTTATTGATGTCTTCAGATTTCATTTATAAGACTGGAATAAAAAACAGAAAGCAGTAAACCCACTACTAGCATATTCCTAACTCACTAACTTACTCCTAAATAATAGGAATAGATGGCTAACAACTAATTGACTAAGTCTTATCTAATATAATGCAGTAAAAGTAAAAGTGCAGTTGAAAAAGCAAATTCCTAACACTTGAGAACTGCAGCTTTGTAGCTCATTACTCTTGTTTTTCTCTTTTGGGATGAAGTAGCTAATTACTTCTTTCATAATCATCTCTCATTTAGTGCATGTTTTTGGTTGGCATCCTTTTAGCAATCTATCAAGTGATCTTATGTCTTTACCTAAAAAATAATGATCCTGTGAAGTGGAATAACGATTTGGCAATGCTTCTATTTTTGTGAAGGTTTATCCATAAGTTGAACAAGAAAAGCTTTATTTTTTAAGTTCAGTGTGGTGTTAGTAGTGACTATTTTAGTGATCTGCACGAGTCACACCGCATACATGTTCAGCACTGAGATCAAGGAAAATAGTGTGGATGTCCAGAATGTTTGTTTTGGATATAGTAAAAATCTTATTGGGTTACAAGACGTATAAATTGATGAAAGTTATCAAAACAATCATATAAAGGTAAACAAATCTTGTTTAATTTTCAAGGACTTTGTGTTTTTTTATATAGTGGGATTTTTTCTTTTGCATCTGCTGCTTTATTAGGTTACTAAAACTTGCTGACTACTGAACAAAGAAGCTTAATTCATTGCTGCATCCTTCATTTCAGGGAGGCGTCTTGCGGTAAATGGAAATTTGGATAAGGTTTTGCTGCTTGTTCCTATTTGTCCATTCTCCTGTGAAGGGTTTTACTTGGCTTCCTGTTATTTTGTAATAGTATGCATATATACTACTGCTTTCTAGTTATTGGAACATATATCTTTAGTTATTGAAAACTTAAACTAAATCGTGATTTCTCATTCTAATGTAAAATGGATTCACTCGGTACTCTTTTCAACACCTTGATCCTTGTACTTCCTTTTATATATTTGTATTTGAATTAACAATAAAACGTAAAATATGAATGTTTTCACCTTTCGTTTAATTTTCTGCTTTAGAGGTGTACTGGAATATGTCTCATTTTGTTTTGGTTAAAAATCAACTTGTGAAAGGTTAAAAGAAGTTACTAATATTAGAAAAGTAGTGATCGAGTATGCAGGTAATCTTTACTGCTCGTCTTAGTTCGGTGTTTGTATTAACTTGTTTCTCTTTGGTGTTTGTTGTTGTTCATATTATTACCTAGAATTGTTTGTTGTGCTATGTTAAAAAATCTGATTCTTGTTCATATCGCGGCTTCAGATATATGTTCGAAACTTGACGTTGTATAGACTCTTTGGCATCATAAAAGTATGTTGTTTTATAATTTGTATTCCCTTCATGTATTAAGTTTTGAATAGGCTTTAGATTAGCTTGTGCGTTAGATTCAACAATTAAGGTTACTAGTTATGCAGATTAGCAGTTTGTTGCTTCTTAGATGTTTTATTTCCTTCAATAGTTGGAAGTCAAAGGTTTAAATTAGCAAGTTTTTTTTTTTTTGTTTTTTTGTTTTTTTGTTTCTACCATTCCTCAACTTCAAAATCTTAACATGTTTTAGTTTCAGTAGAGTAGATATTATCCCCTTCTATCTAAATTCGATTAAGTTATGGAATTTTCTATTTTCCTCTGATTTATGCATAAGTAGTGAAGATGTCTAGTACTTTGGTATAAATTGGTAGCATAAGTTGTTCACGCGGATGGTAGCACACGTCGTTCACGCGGATGGTAGCACACGTCGTTCACACGGATGGTAGCTTATTTTCTAGTTCGATGCTTTGATTTGTCCCTATTTGGTCTGTGACATAATCTGAAATAAAAGGATCAAATTTTATGTTTTAACCTCCATCCCTCATAATAGGGCGTACAAAATTAAATCGAAAATTAAATCAAACCACAAACTGAGTCAAATCAGGAAAAAAAATTTGACTAATAGTTTGGTTTGAGTTGGGTTGGTATTGAAAAAGAATTCGTCTATACTTGGATTGATTTGGTTTTAACTAAAAAGAGTGAACCTAAAATCAAACCAACCCCACATTATATATATAACTTTTAAATTTTTTTTATACGTAGAAGTATTTATTTTGATATAATTTTTCATAAATGTTATATTTTAACATATTATGTCAATTTTTTGAGACTTAGAATTGTGAATGGTCCAATAAAAGTTATAGTGTATAGATGTTAGTAACTCTAATAAAGCTCAAATCAAAATCAAATCAATACTTATGCTAAAAAAATAAATTAATTCAACACTAAACATGATAATAATGTTAAATATTTGTTTTTTTAGTTTTACATTGATTTAGACATTTAAAATACATAACCTAATTTTAATTTTTCTTTTATGTTTAATCATGTAATTAATACTTATTAGACTTATTTTAGCATGGTTTAGTACTTTTAGATTATGATAATTTTCACTAGAGATAAGCATAAAAAACACACCTAAACTATCTCATTTTTTGAGTTTCATACCTAAACTATTGGGAGTGTGAGTTTCGTATCTAAACTAGTACTTATTAGTTTGAGAAACATACCTCAATAGTGTGTGTAATACACTATCTTTTATTTTTTCAAACCTTGCCACATGACATTCCACATCGATAAAATATTCTACCTTGGCAAAACTTAAATAATAAACTATTAGTATTGATTAAAGGTTAAAGTATTACTATCCCTAAAAAAAATTTAAAAAATAAAATTTATTTTTCTTACCCACTCTACCACCTCCTCCTCCCCCTCTCCGCCCTGCGACAATCTCTCCGTGCTTTTATTTTTTTTATTTCTTTTATAAAATATTTTAAAAAAATTTATACTTCACCTCCTCCCCAACCCCAAACCACCCACTATATTTTTAGGAAAATCTCTTTTTTATTTTTGCATACCGAATATAACATAAGTAAAAAAATTATTTATTTAAAAAAATCTTATGGCAAGTAAAAAATAATTAAAAAAATATATATGTATATATCTAACACAAAATGAGATTTTTTTTTTTATAAGTGTAGAGTTAAGTGTGGAGGAATTATTTTTAAAAACATAATAATATCTTAATTATTATTTGAGGGGGGGGGGGGGGGGGAGTACGATGAGAGGAAGTGGTGAAGTGGGGTAAGAAAAATATTTTATATTTTATTTTAACAAAAAATTTTTTTTTTTTGGGATAATAGTTCTTTAGTATTTAATTTTAACTAATACTATTAATTTGTTTAACTTTTGTCAAGATAGAATTTTTTGTCCATGTAGAGTGTAATGTGACAAACTCTTTTAAATAAAATGAGAGTGTAGTACACACATCATGAATCAAGCGTAATAATAGAGAGATGCAGTTGTCAAACTAATAAGTGATAGTTTAGATATGAAATTCACACTTCCTATAGTTTGGGTATGAAACTCAAAAAAAGGAGATAATTTAGGTGTGTTTTCGACGCTTATCTCTTTCCATAATGACTTATTCATTTGCAATATTTGTTTTATGCGATATCATTATTATTTTTTGTTGAATATTTTAGTGTCATCACCATTTCATATTTTGTGTTATTTTCTTAAGAAACACCTTAGATAAAGGAAAGACACATTGATTAAACTTTCCTTACTCGAGGATTATGCGACACTAATGTCCAAAGCTTGGGAGCTTCGAGTTAAGAATCGGTATTAGCCCTTGAGCTTCTTGAAGTGAGACCCATGGTTTAACCCAGAAGTGGAAACAAGTCTTTCCCTGAACTCTCAAGAAATTTGTTTGACAAAGAATTATTATTTTCTATGGCAGCTGCACTTGGAAAGCCTTTGGTGATTGACAAATTCATGAATAACCAAACTAGACCTAGTTGTGTTAGAGTCAAGGTGGAAATTGACCCGTTAAAAGAGTTACCAAAGAGGATTCAGATAAACTGTGTAGATGAAGAGACAGGCACAGTAAGATCTAAATGGAAAACAATTCAATACGATTATCTGCCAAAATATTACACACTATAGTCTTCAAGGACATGATGTACAAGGATTTTGGGTGCTCTATCCAAAACATAGACCAAAGAAAGAGGAGAAACAAGAAGAAAAAAGGGCTATTGACAAAGGAAAAGCTAAAGAGGAGGAGACAAAAGAAAAGCAAGAAGAAAACCTATCTAACACAAATAGAGTCTATAAGAACGGAAAGCTAATTCAACAAAACTAGAACGTCGTACAACACAAAAAAAACAAAGGCAAACAATCTGTAAATAATCAAAAAGAGGAGGACATTCAACAAGATCAAACTAATAAGGCATAGATATTAAAGGAGACAAAGCGATAGGAAATACCTAAAAATTTGAGCCCTTAGTAGATTTAACAGGTGAAAAGAAACAAGATGCAAAAACGAAGGTGGAAAAACTCCAAGAAGATAACAAACATAGTAGAAAAGAAACTTCTAAGCCATGGGTAGAAGCATCCTTTGGCAAAACACAAATTGGACAAAAGGAAACAGAACAAAAACAAAAAGTAATAGTAGCAAAGATAGCAAATAACAAAAAGTAAAAAACTCGACTATCGAATGATGCCAAGTCTTGGGGTTGTTATATATATTTTTTTTTTTTTATTTTTATTTTCCTTCTTCTATTTTGATATTGTTCCCCGTTCCCATTATGTTTCCTTCCTTGTGATAGCTCGTTACTACTGGTTCCAGGCTATGGGTTGACTTACCTACTGATGGAATGTAGTAGTTGTCATCATGACAGATTGATGTCAGAGCTCTAGATTTGTCAGTATCATTGATATGAGAGCAAATGTTTAATAGAGTTTTGTGGATTAGTGCAGAGATGTCTGTGTCTTATCTTCAGAGGGCTATGATGCATTATTAGAAAATTCCATTATTGAATTCCAATGAAGGTGGAGTGGTGGTGATGAATGGGGCTGAATCATCACTAGTGTCCGAAGTGAAAGAGAAACAAGACCAAGACCCCGCTTTTCTTGAATTGAAGGCGAATGTTCATAAGTAGAAAGTGATGGCTTTTGAACAATGGGGAGATGGTGTATTGAGGTATCAAGGTAGATTGTGTGTACCAAATGTGGATGAACTTCAAGAGAGGATCATAGAGAAAGCTCATAGCTCCAGATATTTGATCCATCCTGGTTCAACAAAGATGTATCGTAACTTGAGAGAAGTCTATTGGTAGAGTATTATGAAGATATGTATTGCAGAGTTTGTTGCTAAGTTCCTCAATTGCCAACAAGTCAAGGTAGAGCACCAGAGGCCTGGTGGTATTGCTCAGAACATAGATCTTCCAGAATGGAAGTGGGAGATGATCAACATGGATTTTATTACTGGTTTGTCGTGATCTCGTAAGCAACATGATTCGATTTGGGTGATTGTAGATCGGATGATTAAATTAATCCATTTCTTACCGGTAAAGACTACCTATTCAGTAGAAGATTATGCCAGATTATATATTCAAGAGATAGTCAGACTTCATGGAGTTCCGGTGTCCATCATTTGAGATAGAGGTGCGAAATTCACCGCAAAATTTTTGAAATCTTTCCAGAAAGGTTTGGGTTTGAGGTAGATTTAAGCATTGTTTTCCTTCCTCAGACTGATGGTCAAGCAAAACGCATGATTCAGACTTTAGAAGATATGTTGAGGGTGTGTGTGATCGATTTCAAGGGTAATTGGGATGATCACTTACCTCTAATATAGTTTGTTTACAACAACAGTTATCACTCAATCATCCAAATGGTTCTCTATGAGGCTCTTAATGGGAAAAGATGTAGATCTCCTATTGGATGGTTTGAGGTTGGCGAAGCTGGGTTGATAGGACCAAAATTGGTTCATCAAGCTATGGAGAAATTAAAGATCATCCAAGAGAGGTTCAAAACAACACAAAGTTGCCAGAAATCCTATACAGATGTTAGGAGAAGAGACTGGAGTTTGAGGTGGATGA